GAGCAGGGCTGATGGATCGAGCCTGATCAGGCCATGAAAAGCAAACAAATGCTTTCTCCATCTATAAAAAGCAGTCCCAGACTCCAGCAGGCAGCTTACATCAAGGTCTTGGCTTGATCCACCCTTGGGGGACAAACTGGGGAGAGGCACAGAGTCACTGGTAAAGCCCAGGGCAAGGGCTGGCAGTGGGGATGGGGGCAAACAAGCAAGGAATGGGAAAGGCAAGGGTTGGCTTGGTGGGCAAGGGAAGGCACATCTGGGGATATGGTGCGTGTGAGCTAGAGATGGGCAGTGAGAGCTGGAGAAGTCAGAGCAACTCAGAGCCCCAAGGGCCAGTTTAGGGAGTCTGGAGGAGCTTGGACTTGCTGGGGAAGTGTTGGGCAGCAGCTGGGGGCAATCCTGCGTATTAAAAGGGGAAGGGGAGGCGTTATGGGAGCAGAGATCAGAGTGAGGGCAGCTGAGGGGATTGTTTGGTTGTCAGAAGAAGATTGGATGGCTACTGCCCATCTGTAGTAAGGACCTTGGTGAGGAAGGGCTGGGCCCAAGCAGAGCATCCCCTGAGCAGGTCTGGCAAGCAAGGAAAGGCAACGACCTGGTTCTGGCCAGGCCCTGGGCACAGTGAGGGCACTCCTTGCCTGGTGTGCAGCTGACAGCCCTGCCAAAAGGTGAGTGTTTGCTATGTGGTTTGTAGCAGGTTGCTTCTTCATTTAAAAAGAGAAATTAAATTAGCTTGTTTTTCTCTGGGAATGGTTGCAGTGGAATTTTTCAGTCCCTCTGTCTTCTTTCTATCTCCCTTTTTTTTGCCCTAATTCTCTTTCCTGCTTTTATTGTTTTTCCTTTTCATCTGCTGCTTCTCCCCTCTAAGCCTGTCTCTGAGCCAAAACAATTTGCATCCATCCAAGGAAGGCAGTAGTGCTGCTCTGCCTCTCTCTTAGTTAGGATATATTTAGCCATTGCCTTTGTTGTCTTTTTTTTTCCTTCTTCTTTTGCTGTTCAGTGGCTTTAAAGAGCAGGTGCCAGGAACAGAAAGAGAAGATTAAAAATACCTGCTGTCAGATACTTCTCCCTACGCAGATGTGCTGCAGCGCTGTGCAAAGTGAGCACGTGAGCGGAGCGGATAACAACTGCCCCTCGAACAGCTCATTTGTAATTCTAATTTTTTTTTTTTTTTAATTTCAATAATTCCTTTCCGCACTGCTATGAATTTCCAGAGCAGCTATTTCCTCCCGTGCTTCATGCGAAGGCAGCATGTGCTGCTGTTGGGAATCAATTAAAAGCCTCAGGGGCTGCGGTGAGGGCCATCACACAGAGGCTGCTGAGGGACAAGTGTCGTTGTGCAGTACAAGCGGGGTCTTTTACCCTTTACATCTCTCCCTTTTACCCCTCTGCATTTGACGTCTACCAGATTTCATGCAGACAGATCCAGGGGACTTGTTGGACTCCGGCAGCCTCTGTTGAAGCAATGCAGAGGGCACGCGGTGCTGCCTTCAGGTTTTGCCGTTCCTGATTGCCAATTCTGTGGTTCCCCATCCCTTTAGGAAAAATCAAGTGTTGGGCTCCTTGGTGAGACTGCCTGGCCCACGAGTTCTGCGATGCAGTGAGACCCCAGCAGCATGGCTCACTGTTGCTCTTCCTCTTCTCCTCTTCCTCCCCGCCTCCCCTTCCTATCCATTTCTGTATCCTCCCCTCCTTATTCCACTCAAACCATGGTACCATAAACTCTCCTCTGAGCTTGGCTGTGCTTTGGAGCACATGTGCAAGGATGCTTGCCACCCTGTCACCTCTTCCTTCTTCATTCCCCATAATCTGCCTCATTTGTGTAGCTTTGGGGCCGAAAACTTTATTTTCCTATTTGCCATGGTTGTTGGCGCTTCACAAATGCTAACCCAGAAACAGCAGCATCAATACCTGGGGCTGAAAGGCTTTGTGTTTTGCTTCCAATGAGGAAGCCAGTAGCTGTACCCCTGCAGACACCAGTGCTGTGCTGGCAAAGGGCAGCTACTGCTGCAGCTCTCCCACTGTGGGCACCTCCATGGCCCAGCCATCTCCCACCCTAAGCATGCAGGGTCCCCCAGTGCACCCTGCCTGAGCCACTGGGACCTCTCCAGCGGAAATAAAACCCTGAGAGGGTCAGTCCCCATGGATGGGAGGTGGGCTTCATGTCGGCAAGGCTGTGGCACGGTTACAGGAAAGGAGCGCGGCCCCAGGCGTTGCGACACAGATGAGGTTTTTTTTGTGTTCCAAAACAAGGACTGATAATACAGACAAGCGAGCTGGAGCCGCGGGAGGCTGCTAAGCTAAATGAGACAGGAAGCACGTAATTAAATTAGATATAGAGCTCCATAAAGACATCTGAGTACACATACGTATTTGGACTCGGAGGCTATTGCATAACCCTGCTGAGGAGCTCCACAGCAGCAAATATTGTGCCTGCTGCAGCCCGCGCTGGTGAGTTGCCCGTTGTTGAACAGCATCTCCCACCCCAGCAAAGGGAAGAGTCAGAAACGATGCCCCAGGGGAGCAGAGCTGCCGGCCAGTGGGTTTTTGCAGGAGGCCAGTGTTTTGTGTGGGGTTCCGGTGGCCACGGCTGAGCAGGTGGAGGATCTGTCCTGGCAATGCCCTCCCTGCCAAGGCCAGGACAGCCAGATCCCATTCCCGCCACTGGCTCTGCGGCGTGTCCCACAGCCATGTGCTGGTTTCAAACACCCAAGTGTGGGACTCAGTCGTGAGCATGGCATTTCCTATGGCTTTGTGCATCTTCTGTCTGAGCGACCATGGTGCCCAAGAAGACACAGCCTTTAATTGACTTTTTCCCTCTCACTGAGAGTTTATAGAAGTCTTTCCCTCCCATGGGGGCTTGCAGGAACCAAGCTGTCACTGCAGGCATTTCCATACTTCTGCCTTGCCATCAATCAGCCTTGCCTCACCTGAGCCAAGTGCTTCGAAAAGCACTGCAGAGGGCACCAGGTAAAAACCACACACGCCATTGCACAATGCACTTTATTTCCATGAGGAAAAGCAGTGGGGAGATGAGGGCTGAAGCCAAGTGGAGGTTTCAATGGGCTGTCACACCAGGGCAGAGATGTGCAGAATTTCTCTGCTCTGGCTCACATCACTAGTGCTCCTTTCCCATGGGCCGGCACTGCTGTCCCAGCTGTGTTTTTGCTGTGTGGCTGTTTGGGGACCGTGGACTTGTTGCCAGAAGTCATCCACTCAGCTCTGCATGTCTATAACACATGCCCAGCCTCCTGGAGGTTTTCCTCTTGGCGTAACCTGCTTAGGGGATGCCTCAAAGCACTAGGGAGAGTTGCTACAGCATCTCATGACTTTACAAATCTGTAGGTGGGAGAATGGGCTGCAGCACCTAAGCACTGTTTTAGAGGGTAAATGTACACAGATGAAGTCCTGCTTAACACTAGGCATGCCCCAAAATGATGGGACAAAACAATGCCAGGGCATCGCTGAGTGCTGCACCGGTGCAGAAAACTGGGGAGGAGATGGATATGCAGGTAATGGAGGATAAGGGCCATTGCCACTCCAGACCTGTGACTGTTGCTGTTGGCCAACTGATACAGCCTGGATGTGAGTGCTAAGGGTATGTGTGCATGGCCAGTGCTGAAATATCCGAGTGTGACCCCCTCCTGTGGGAACCAGGAGCCCGTACCCATATCAGTATGGCAGCAAGTTGGGCTGGGGCATCAGGCTGATGTGGCCAAAGCACTTCCAAAACCTGTGTTAGATTGAGTGATGCCCATGCTGTGGGCATGCACAGACCTTCTTAGCATTTGCACAGGTAAAGGCAATCTTACAGCCCGCTTGCCCTTACTCATCCCCTTCTTTCCTGAAATCCACAGCAAGGATCACAGCTTTGATTGTGGTTTTAAGGCAGAGGGAAGACAGGAACAAGGGCTTTCTGCAGCTCCAAACATGTATCTGTAGCTGAATATCTGCTAACCAAGAAGTCTTAAACTTGTTTATTCAAGTGAGAAAAAAAAACCACAATCAACAAATCACTGTTGGTTGTCATGGAGCTCTCTGCTTGTTGCACCAGACCTTGGGGTTCACTGGTGCACAGTGAACCTCTTTCTCTTCATCCTTCTGTTTTACTGGTTCAGTCCTATCCCTCCAGTGTCCAACCTCTCTCCTGCTTTTAGTCTCCTCTTTCCACCCTCAGTTCCCATTAGGAGCCACCTTTATCAGAGGCTGTCCCACGCTTTGCTCAGGCTTTCTTGCATGTGCATCCCCTCCCCTTCTCTTGTCCCACCACAGACTCAGCAGGGAATTTGTGATGAAGAAGTGCAACTTCTGCCAGCATGGGGGGGCAGACACCGGCCCCAATTTATTGTCCCTGTGGACTGGCAGTGAGTGTCATTTTTGGTGGACATGAAATTGTTACCCTCTTCTGCTCTACCTGCAGTGCCAGGGGGATGCACTGCTCTGCCCCGGACGCCCAGGCTTTGCATCTGCCCCCTGGATGCTGCAAAACATCTGGTTCTGCTGGGGATGGGCATCCTTGGCTTCAACCACCTTGCAGCGCTGGGAGGATTGGAAGTCTTCGGGCAGCAGGACAGAGCTGACGAATTGCCCTGCATTATAGCGTCTGTCCTGTCCCTCTCACTCTCCCCATCTACGTCCCCGCCTGCCAGCGGTTACTCAGCGAGCTCTGCGCGTCGGTGGAAACGAGCCTGTTTTTTCCTGTTATCGAGGAAGCCGTTATGACTGTGATGCTCAAGGACAAGCCTGGGCCTCCCACTCCCCCTCCCTTCCCAGCACAAAAGCAGCCTACCTAAGCCGTTATCTTCGCGGGTGCTGCCGGAGCAGCTTTTGGTTGGTTGGAGGCTGGAGCGATGCCGGGTCCCCCTCCCAGCCCTCCCGCCTCCCACCCATTATAAAGCACGGCTCCTCGCCGCCTTTCCAGCCGA